TATATTTTATAGGTCCCATTAAAACAAGACACAGAAACATTGGATTTGAAATCGTGAGTAGCATGTCAAAAAAAAAAAGAGTGTTTATCTATGCATGTCATTTTGTCAATTTCAGATTAGGTTAATCTTGTAGTAATTAGTAGCAATATATGTGATGAGAATGTATCACTTTTTATGTAATAACATATTTTATTCAGGTACCAAGAAGTGCTGCAGAAATTATCCATTGATGAAGGTTGTGTGGTGAAAGTTGTGAAAGGTCGGGTCTGTTCGGCAGCTTTTCACCCCTCCGCTTCCAACTTGCTCATGGCAGCAGGAGACAAGTTCGGCCACCTGGGACTCTGGAAGCCAGTGAGATAACAGTTTACTGGGGGAGATAAAAAGGAGAGATGTTTGTGAAAGTTGGATAATGGGAAAGGAGAGATGTTTGTGAAAGTTGGATAGTGGGAAAGGAGAGATGTTTGTGAAAGTTGGATAATGGGAAAGGAGAGATGTTTGTGAAAGTTGGATAGTGGGAATGTGATTAAGGGACTAATGGCTATTCCAGGATTTTCAATGTTAACTGTGTTTCCCTTAGGATGCTAAATGGGGCAATGATGGTGTACTCTGCTTTGAACCCCACTCTCGCGCAATTACCAGCATGGCCTTTTCCTCTCAACCTTCCAACCTCATCACTGTCAGCTATGATGGCTTTGCACGTAGCATGGACCTGGAGAAGGCTATGTTTGATGAGGTGAAAATTACTGACAGACTTTGAAATGTTTACACTGGACATATCGTTTGAATGCGCATCGTTTGAATGTAAGCCATTCTAATTCTGCTCATCGATTTCGATTCATAGCTTTGATTCCAATAAGGTAAAAAAAAAAATAAGGTAAGCAAAAAAACTGCAGTTGTATACCATGAACAAAAATCAATAGGCTTAAGAACACTTTGCCTATGGTTTTAACAAAAATAACACAACAAAACCAACTAGCCTAACTAATATAAATAAATAATAAACTAGCAATAGCACAAATAAATAAAACTGAACAATGATACAAATAAAATAAACAGTGGTTTAAGGTTTTCAGGTAGGTGTTGTATTAAGGTACAGAAGCTGTAATCAAATGTAAAATAACTGCTTTATGAATAGAATATACATTACAAATATAGATAGAAAAGTTAATCAGTCAAGATCAGTGAGTGAATTTTCTCTGTCTTTTGTTTGATTAATGTTAATTACACGGATGGCAGTAGGAATATTGGTCTGCTGTCACTTTAAGACCCAGTGCACGGATCCAATATACTGTTACACATGCGTTTTCTTTCTTAACGGTTTACTTTCACTTAAGACAAAACTGACTGTTTACGACAACATTATTTTGTGTGTATTTGTCTGTTCAAGTGCAAGAACACACGAAAGAGAACTCCGTATTTTGCGCACTATATGAGAGGCGGCTTTCTTTCCTTGGATGCGTGCACAGCACATAAAACAGCATGAGATTTTTCTTGCGCTTGAATGGTTTAAAATAACATTAAAATGCACACAAATGAATCAGTAAGAGGTATAAAAAGTGTTACGCAGTCATACGCATTTATTGTCTGATATGTGATGCACCATTGAGCAAGTTGCTATAGTAGGTTACTGAAACCTGCTATAGTAGGTTTTTTGTATTCAAACTACAGTCCTTGTCCATGTATACATGTGGAATTGATTATTTGAAGGATTCAATGCTTGTTGCACATCACATACAGCTACTTTTATCAGAAGTTTGAGTCAGTAAGATTTAGGTTTTTTTTACAGAAATGTATATTTGTATTCAGCAAGGACACATTAAATTGATAGAATTACTGTAAAACATTTATAATGTTATGAAAGGTTTCTATTTCAAATCAATGCTGTTCTTAAATGTTTCTTAAGCACCCAATCAGCATATAAGAATGATTTCTGAAAGATCATGGGACACTGAAGACTGGAGGAATGGCTGCTGAAAATTCAGCTATGCCATCACAGGAATAAATTACACTTTAAAATGAATCTTATAATTTTTATAGAAAATGGTTATAATAAATTCAAATATTTAACAGTATACCTGTTTTACTGTAAATTTGATCAAATAATTGCAGCCTTGGTGAGGATAAAAGACCTCTTTTAAAATATATTTTTAAAATCTTACTGACTCCAAAAGGTAGTGTATAAATGACAAACATATTGCATATCAGCTACAAGCATGAGAAAGAGAAAAGTGACAAAATATTGAAATTTGTACTTTTGAAGGTATTGGAATCTGTCATTTGCCAAACATATTTTTAGTGTATCCCTAGTAAATCATCTTACCATACAATATCTGTTTTTTGTAATATCTGTACCCAGGTTTATCACTCAACCTCTGGCCTGAAAAGTTTTGACTTTTTGTCAAAAGACTGCTCCACTTTACTACTGGGTGAATGGAAAGGAGATGTTGCTGTTGTTGACCGAAGAACTCCTGGGTGAGATGGAAATGCAACATGTCAACAAATGTTAAACCTAAATACCCCATACAAATAAGTATTTACATAATAAATGATGGGGAAATGTGTGATTGCAGGGTATATGAATCTTTGCATACCATGGCTGAAAAACCTATACGCTGTGTTCATGTCCATCCTGTGCAACAGCATTACTTTGTAGTGGCAGAGAGCAGGTATCACATAACACTTCTCAACTAGACTGTTTTAGTTCGTTTTCACCAAATAATGATCAACGTGATGTTTCACAAGTTCCTGAGTAGATTACAGACACGGCAGATAAAAGTATGTTTTTAATATGTTTGTCTTTTTCTCCTTCTAGTTTTGTGAACATATATGACTTGCGTCATCTAAAACGAAGGAACAGTCTAGCAGTCTGTGAACTCAAGGGTCACAGGCGCAGCGTCTCCAGTGCCTTTTTCTCCCCACACACAGGCAACAGAGTCCTGACCACCTGCATGGACAACAACATCAGGTGCTCCGAAACCTCAAGCTTTGCAAATGTACCAATAGAGGGTGCCAGAACATCATGGCTATGTGTCAGAATAGTGTTGAATAGGCTTTGTATCAATTTTTGCATGTGTTTTTCTTTCCCCCTTACTACCTATAGTTCTAAACTAAACTATACAAAGCAATTTACTATTAAGAAGTCTTCCAAGAATTGTAAATGCCACCTATCCTCCAAACAGCTTATCCTCTATGGAAATGCATTACAATTTGTAATACAAATGTTTTATTAACCTTTTTACAATTTTTTTAGGGTATTCAACACTTCCCAAATGGATTGCAATACTCCTGTAATAAAATCAATTATGTAAGTATGGGTGTTATCTAATGTGTAAAATCATCTGTTAAATAGCACTGTTCAAAATATTGGGGTCAGTAACTTTGACATTGTTTTACATTTAAATTTTTACATAAATGCTGTTCTTTTTAAACATTTTAACAAAGAATCCTGAAAAATATGCATTCATTTTGTTTTCCACGAAAATGTTAAGCGGTTTTCAACGTGGATAAGAATAAAATGGAAAATTAGACAATCTTTAAAGTAATAATACTATTTCACAATATTACTGTTGTGATAAGAGACATTTTAAAGCATTCAAATCTTACTGATCCGAAACTTTTTACAAAAGTCATGATACAAACTGATTTTAAAATAAATAAAAATTGCATAGTGTAAAAAAGGCTGCAAAATAAACTAAGCATCATATGTAACATTTTGAGACCCTACACAAAGTGGGTGCTAAAATCATAAATTTACATGCCAAAAACTGGAGTTAAAATGGAGTTATTAACAGTAGCTACTATACATTATTTTGTGTGCATTTATCCTTTATAGATGATCATATTTTATTCTGACTATATGTCTTTATTATGCAATTTTCTATGTTGGAACCATTTTAGTTAACTTTTTTTTTTTGTTAATTTTTTTCATCAATCAGAGGTTTCCATTGTAACACCAAATTCTTTCAATGTAGGCACAACATGCATACAGGTCGGTGGTTGTCCAAACTGAGTGCAGTATGGGACCCCAAGCACCAAGAATGTTTCGTGATTGGCAGCGTGGACAGGCCTCGCCGAATTCAGGTATATCACGAGAGTGGTCATCACCTGCACACTTTTCGCGACATGGACCACCTGACCACAGTGTGCTCCGTCACAGCATTCCACCCAAACATGAACACTCTACTTGGAGGCAATTCAAGTGGGAAACTGCACATCTTTACCAACTCTTTCATCAACTAGGAGAGATACATTTATTCGTCTGTTTATTGAATTGATTGTGTTGGTTTTCTGCTTCCCTCTTTTTTTTTTTAATACACACAACATAGCACTGTCATACTTGTACTGTCTGTTGTTTTATATAAAATACGTTGTTGGTTTTCGTTCTTGTAACATTAAAGATGACGATATAAAGACTTAAATAATCTGTCATATTTTTTTCTTTACCTGTATTTTCTTAACATGCTAATCTTGAAATCAAATGCGAAGAAAGTTAATGGTTTTGGATTCCTGCTTCCTTATTTTTTTCACACAACATAGCACTTGCTTTTACTGTTGTTTTATATAAGATGTTTGTTTAATTCTTATATGTAATACTAAAGAAGAGGGTAAAGAGAGTAGAATACTCTGTCATCTTTTTTCCTTACTCTTTTTTTTCCAGTATTTTCTTATGAAAATGCTCATCCTGAATTCAAATGCAAATGTTTTTTCTACACACAGCATAGCACTTGCTTGTATTGTTTTATATAAAAGATGTTGTTTGTTTTTGTTCTTATAACATTTAACATGTAATATTAAAGAGCATATAAAGGCTTGAATAATCTTATCTTTGTCATTTATTTATTTTTTACTAAATGTTTGTGATTCAGTAGCTGATTGTAATTTGTACCTGTATTTTTTCACGAACATGTTCATCCTGAATTTAAATGCAATGAGTTTATAGTCCAATCTCTAAAAGTGAATTTAGCACATTATCCATTAACACACTCACTCCAATACATATAAACTTTAAAAAAAAATAGGTTTATTTAAGAATCTGCAGAGTTGCCTTGGGAAACAGTTTACTATGGATGTGGGTGTGAAAGGCGTTATCTCCTTAAGTTAAACCAGAACTCAAACAGTCAATGATGACAGAGGCTCATCACATGTAATTATTCGATTTTTTTCAAAGTGCAAAATAAATAGCAAATCAATACAAAATAACAGTAATTTTCCACTCAAAGAGTTTGTTAAACCACACTTCAGATGAGTTAAATTCTGGCAACAGTAGTGGTGCTCAGGAATGGGTGGTATATGGTCCTGCACCCGGTGAAGAGCTGTAGCTTTGATACATAGGGCCCAGGCACGCGCTCACTTTTTTTTTTTTTTTTTGCTTTACTACCCACACAAGCCTATCTACTCATGCAGATATCCAACCATTTACAGGGGCCTTGCATGTTTGTTTGTTTTTTTTCTTTTACACTTGAAATCTCTTGGTGCGTTTCTTAGAGTTACTGTAAGTGAAGGCAATATAAAAATGAAAATAACTGAAGTTAATACAACAGACTGCTCTGAGGAACCACACCGATGAAGGCCACAAGGCTGCATGCACCTCCTATTTCCATATTCCCGAAATTATATTTGGAGGACGGAGTGTATTACTTTAACCAAGACTGCACATGTATGCACCTGCATGTCACGAAGCGAATGTACCGGGTGTTAATGTAACCATGTGATCCACTTCATTCTAAAAATACAGCGTTGATGTTTGTTCGAGCTGAAAAGAGTTAAAGGACTTTTTGCAAACTATCGGTCCATTTCATATGAGAACGAACCGGAGTGGCTACCCAATGAGATCAACCAGGAGGTCAAGATTGCCTCCAACTACCTGCTCATTTGCTCATTCAACTCCAAAACGATGAGCATTAGTTCTCATGGAGGAACATCTCAATCAACTCATGGTTGATAAGGGCCAGCACAGGCCTTTTGGTTCCTTAACATTTATTCAGCTTGACTTTATTTCAAAACATGTTTATGCTGTACTGTAGTTTCCCACATCCTTCCCAAAATTATAATAGTCAAGTTCCTGGATGGCCACTTCAGATAGCTTAGTTAGGTTCGGTGCATCATTGTTTTCCATATTTTCTGGTGCTGTAAAATTGAAATTCTCATCTTCATAGTCCTCATGGGGCTCCATGTCTGGTGGGCCATCTGTATCAAAAAACAAAATGAAATTTATATTAGAAACATTTAACTACCATGCTGATCAAAAAATGTTGTATTCTTCTCACCTTGTCCATCTGGAGAGACGTCCATTCCATGTTTGACCTTCATGTGTCTGCTAAGATTTCCCTTCAGGTTAAATTTACTCGAACAACATGCACACTTGAAGGGTTTGCTGCCTGCATGGAGGTGCATGTGGCCCAGGAGGTTGTACATTCGGTTAAATGACTTTCCGCACACCTGTGGAAAATGAATCAAAAGAGCTTTACAAACCAGATGGTGAATGTGTCAAAGAGATGGTGTGAAGAGCGTTTTAAGTCCTTACCTTGCACTTGAAGGGTTTCACAGGCAGGTGTACGATCATGTGAGTTTTGAGCGTCTGTTTTTGGACGAAAGACTTGAAACACACGTGACACTGGAATGGCCGGACGCTGGCGTGGATTAACATGTGCCTCTTTAGGTTTGCAGACAATGTAAACTCTCGGGCACATACGTCACACTTAAACCCCTTTGTTCCCTAATGGGGAAAAAAAGCAAAACCAACAACTAAAATGTGCTAATTTGCTAAAAGTTTGATGCAAATTGTACATTTTAAATCATTTAGAAATTTATGACACCAGTGAATAATTAGTTTAACAATCAGCATACATAACTATTTGTTATGGTCTCAACTGGACAACTCTACTGCAATGTTTACACTGAGTTAAGTACTAAAGCTGGCTAGATAGATATTGCGCTACAATGGACATTGTTCACAAAGGAAAATGACAGAGTGAAATTGAGAGGGAATTGAAAACGGAGGGGTGAAAGAGGCCTTTACCAGAGAGAGAGAGAGAGAGATGGGAGAAGTTAAAGAAAATAGAAGATGGGTAACTGAGTAAAATCAAATTAGGGTAAAGTAAGAGGTTGTAATAAAGGTAAGAGGAAAAAAGAAAGGCAAGGAAGAAAGAAAGAATAAAGGCAGAAAAATAAAAGTGCACCCTGTCAGGTAAATCACTAAAACATTCAATGGGGATTTGTACTATTTTACAGACATAATTTCTAATGTAATGTAATATAATGTACAGTATATTATGTACAGTATGAAAGATAATATATAATAATAATTAGGGCTGTCAAACGATTATTATTTTAAAATATTCAAAAGAAAAAACTTGGATAATTTAGTTAAGTTTGTATTGTAATCTATCCCTTTACATTACTGCTAGATTATGATCTAAATTGAAAAACAGTTGGAATGACCCATTATAGCCAATAATTCAAACTATGGCTGATTTACAGTACTGAAAATCATAAAATTATTGTTCACGTATAATGGTACCACACCACAACAGAGCATAAAGCTACTCAATACAACAGCAGCAAGGATATACAGCAGGGATGGAAATAAGTTTTGTGTTGTGGCTGGTAAACTCGCTTCACCAACCAGCCAACGTGGCAGGTAAATAAAAGTAGCATGCTGTTCAACCCGGACACTTTTGGGGACAGGTATATCACGGAGGGACACCTTGAGACTTTACCCTATGGAATAAACAGCCTAAAGGAGTAGTTCACTTTTTAAAAAACTTTTGCTGATAATTTACTCACCCCCATATCATCCAAGATGTCCATGTCTTTCTTTCTTCAGTCGAAAAGAAATTAAGGTTTTTGATGAAAACATTCCAGCATTTTTCTCCATATAATGGACTTCAGTGGGAACCAAACAGTTCAAGGTCCAAAAGACACTTTTGCTCTGTACTGCGCTGCACGTTGGTGACTCTCCTGTTCGAAATCTTTTTCAATTCGTTGAAAAAGTCAATTTGTTCGTTGACTGAACCAAATGAGTCGGAAAAAGATTAGTTCATTTTGATGAACGAGTTCGAACAGGAGAGTCACCAACGTGCATCGCGGTACAGAGCAAGGCGAGCGTTTGAGCTTTTAAAACTTAAACTTTGTTATTTATTTATTAAATGAGTGATCGTTTCACTTGATAAGACCCTTATTCATCGTCTGGAATCGTTTAAAGCCCTTTGAACCGTTTGCAGTTTGCACTGAAAGTGTCTTTTGGACCTTGAACTGTTTGGTTCCCACTGAAGTGCATTATATGGAGAAAGATACTGGAATGTTTTCATCAAAAACCTTAATTTCTTTTCCACTGAAGAAAGAATGACATGGACATCTTGGATGACATGGGGGTGAGTAAATTATCAAAAGTGTTTTTTCAAAAGTGAACTACTCCTTCAAGTAGTGTAGTTCTTGTGGTATTCATTTTCACATGCAGTTACACATTTTCGGTTAAAAACAAGAAAGTGGCAGGTAAAAACACTGAGTGACTGGTAGATTTTGGAATCCACCAGCCAAAGTGGCAGGTGGACAAAAAAGTTAATTTCCATCCCTGATATACACCTGTACAAAAACACACTAACTGTCTCTGTACCTTGGTAGTCCGGGTCTGAGGCTTGTTTGTCTTGTGTGTTAGAGAGTGCTGGCGTAGCTGATGTAGTTGAAGAAACTGGAGGCCACACTGACTGCAGGAGAAAGAGCGCTGCGTTTGGTGCTTCAGCAGGTGATTCTGCAGCTGGCTGCGGTAAGCAAACGACTTGTTGCACTGGCTACACTGGAAGGTGGAAGGTCCTTGGTGGCTCACCTGATGACGCTTCAGGTGGGCATAGGTAGGAAACTCCATGCCGCACTGCGGGCAGACGTGGCACCGGCCTCTTTCATGCTTTACTTCGTGAGCACGGAGTTCACTGGGGTAAGCAAAACCACGACGACAAAAACGGCAACTGTAGGGCTTCACGTCGGTGTGCTGCAGCATGTGCCGCTTCAGGTGGCTGGTCTGGGTGAAGCCCTTCTTGCACACGGTGCACTTGTGTGGCCGCGTACCCTGGTGCGTCAGCAGGTGCGTCTGTAGGTGGCTGGGCTGCTTGAAGAGTTTGCCGCAATGTGGACACGCGTGTGGCTTGATGCCATTGTGGCCCAGGATGTGCGTGACCAGGTTGTACTTCGAGGTGTACGACTTCTCACACATGCGACACTTCCAGCGCTTCAAGCCCTCGCCAACGTCCACGCAGTACGACTCATTGATCTGAATGTTGATGTCCAGCCGGTCGATACGACGGCCACGGGGTGCCTCCCCTTCCACAGGCTCTGCCCAGAACATCCCCTCACTGTTCTCATCGAAGTCCCCGACCCCTTCCATCTCGCCTCCCTCGTAGCCGACCTCACTAGCCTGAAAATAGCTGCTAATTTCCTCGCCGCCGCTTCCTACTTTCCCCATGCTATTTCTCCCGTTGTCCCTGTCCTCGCTCACCTCATCTACTCCTTTTTCGTGTGTGTGGCTCCGGTTGCGTGAAGGCACCTCATGAGGTGTGTGGCTGTGGGAAGGAGGGTGTAAATGTTGGTCAGGCGGAGGATGCGTACTCTTGGGGTCTCGGACGCAGGTGGTGCAGCCGTTATTGGGTTGGGGTTTGGGCAAGACCCTGTAGCTTGAGGGGTCCACCATCTGCATGCTATCTCTGGGCACCATGTTATTCATCATGTGAGTGCAAGAGGGTAAACCTGGAGTCACAATCTCCCCTTTAACGTGTAACGCCATGTCTTGGTGCTCTACAGGGGGTTTGCTGTTCTCAGGCTGCCCCTGCCACCTTCTCTCAACACAGCTGGAGTGCATGTGCCCATCCTCACCCAAATTCTCTCCAAGATAGTCGCCGTTGGCACCTATAAGCTGGTCGGCGTACTCGTAGTCCATTCTCTCACCTGGCGGAGCGGGGGACTCTTTGGGGTCTCCGGTATAGAAGCCGTTGGGGGCGATGGTGGCGCCAAAGACCTCGTTCTGAGAGATGAGTCCCAACACAGCAGCTTGGGCCAGCGACAGGACCACTACAGGGTCTGTCTGCGTGCCTGCATCCATCTGCTGGTGCATGGCCTCAGAATAACATCTGACCAGCCGCTGTGTCTTCTCCTCCTGTAGAGCACACACATAAGCACATGCAGATACGTTTAGTAGGCCTGCATGCCCAGTTTCTCTATTAGTTTTAAAACTACCCAAAATCATTTGCAAACTTTTATCTAAAGATATTGTGTGGATAAGGTATTATGACTATCACACCATTGGCTGAACCGATATTGCCATATCTGCTTGTTAAAACAAACTGCTTGGTGGCACTAGTTGTGCAAAAAACAAACGAAAACAACAACTCACCTTTGATTAATTGATTGGCTTAAATGTAGTTTTGCCAAAAAATAAAAATCCCTTTTTTTCAAAATCATTTACTCACCCTCATGTCATTCCAAACCTGTATGATTTTAAAGAATGTTGGTAACCAAACAGTTTTGGTTACCATTGACATTCATTGTATGAACAAAAAAAAAAAACCCAGACATTTCTCAAAATATCTTGAGCGTTTCGCAGAAGAAAGTCAGATTTGGAATGACGTGACGGTCAGTAAATGGAACAGACAAAATTTAGGTTTATTTGGTGAACTCACTTTAAAACTAGGTTACCCAGTCAGTGCTGTCTAATATTCATACTTGCTACCTCTCCATCTCACTCACAAAACCTCATTCCCTCAGACAGGTGCCCCTTTCCTAAGGAGGAGGATTCCACACCATAAGAAAATCCGAACTCTGCTCTAACATCTTACAAATCATGCAACAAAAGTAATTATGTAATGATGACTGCTAGTGGGTATTTTCAAGAACAACCGAATATCTTTAAAAAGGACAGTGAAAGTCTATACAGACTAAGAGAAAAAGAAGGAAGAGAGACAGACAGGAGGGTAGGAGAGTGAGTGAGACAGAAAGAGAAGTAGAAAAAGAGAGGGAGGGGCAGAGAGTGGCTGAGTGAGCGAGTGAGCGAGTGAGAGAGCAAGCAATAAAGAGAGTGATAAAGAAATAGAAAGAGACTGAAAAAAATTAAAGACAGGTAAGATAAAGGATTAGGGTGTAAGAGAGACAACGGAGACTGAAAGTAGCTGAAATTTGAATTTAGAAACTGATCAAATTATATAATTTAAAAAGAAAAATCACTGCAAATAAAACATTGTGGTCATTAAAAACAAGTATCATCAATCAGCTTCAGATATATACAAAAATATATTGAGCCATCTGATCAGGCCATTTAACTGGGCCATCCGGTTTAGTGAACACACATACACACACATAGATAAACAAACAAACAATCTGCTAAACAAACTAAGCCATCAGAAGGCATCGGAGCAGTTGCGAGTGGAACTCACCACATTTTTCTTGGTCTGTGGTTTCAGGTGTTTGAGAGATCTCATCCTGAGGCAAAGTCACAGGTTTGAATTCACCCGCTGCCCTCCCCTTCATACATTATATGTTCTCTGGACCAAAACAGACACTCTCTCCTCTGTGTTTCTCGTACTCTCTCTCTCTGTTCTCTGTGTATGCGTGTTCTCTTTTTCCTCTCTCACTCTTTTTCTCTCTGCTTTCCCCTCCCCCACTCCCCTCTCTCTCTCTTTCTCTCACTCTCTCTCTCTTTGGCGCAAGCACACACACATACACAGTGCTCTTTTCCCTCACTCCCTCCCCCTCTTTTTCATTCTTTCTTTCTTTCTCTCTTTCTTTCTGTCTTTCTCTTCCTCTTAGCCTTTCCAACTGTTTCACTCAGACATTCTCTTTTGCATACACTTGTGAAACATGTTTGAGAACACAAACATATTTATGCTGTGAAAATATTGTGAGCTCTGCCATAAAAGTATGGGCATACATGTACATCACAGCGAGCACACAAAGGGAAGATGTGTTTGACAGAGTGTAAAAACAGAAGCGAGCTTCAAGAAAGTATTTTAAGAGAAATACAGAAGACATATTCTATAAAACAATTCGGATACAAGATCAAATTAAAGAGTACAAAATGGATATGTAAGCATAAGGGGAAAAAATCATCAGAGGGGTTCAAGTAAATGTCTAGCAGGCTGACAGAGCATACATGCATCTGAGAGAGTCTGTACCAGGTGAGGACCTTTTGACCTGTGTGCTGAGAAACATGACAGAATCAGCTTGTCTGTTTAAATGCTCAGCAGACACTATGTGATGTGTATTTATGATCTCACTCACATATGAGAATCCATTTTATTATCAAGCAGTCATTATGCATTTAAGCTTGGCTGTTCTTCATATGCCTTCAAAAACATTGATATGGCATTCTCTCCATGTGAGTCAGTCTACATTACATGATTGTCACACATTCAAAAGATACAGGTACACACACACACACACAAACAAAATGAAGCTGTGCAATAAAGCATGCAACATGAATGGAATGGTATGAAATGGAAAGTCACCCGATCTATTTTCTAAATGCATGTTATTGATCTCAATCATTGCGAAGGATTCATCCATGCAAGTTTTTTTATCTTTTAATTTTAATCAGAATGTCATAACTTGGATCTTCCAATGAAATGACAGACTTTTCTCTGATGACACATGCTGGACTTTTCCAATCATTTGGTCTTCATAAAACCCACCTCTTCCTTAAAATCAATGCTCAGGGTCGCATTCAGATATGCCGCCATCCAATCAACAACTAAAGATTTGAACCAAATCCCCACCATACTTCTTTTTGATAATCCATTTTACTTGGATGTCCATCACAATACAGAAGAAAAGATTGCTACATCGCAGCTTCAACAAACAAACTTGGTGTGGACAAAATTACTAATAACAGGATGTTGATTCTGATCTGCACTTTATGACATCCACTCAAATTCAAACCATAATAAGTAAACCATTAAGCAATAAGTATGAGAAGCTGTGCTGGCTGTGTCCGAAAGCTTAGGCATCTGACTTCGTAGCCTCGCTGCCCAATCAGACGATGACTTTCCAAGCAGTGTTTGTGCACTCACGAAAACTGGCACCTCACAAAACTGATTTCGGACAGACAACTGAGGCAGCATAACAGTTTAATGATCTACAAAAAGGAGAGAGCATTTTTGATAACTAAGCGAATATTCAATTACTACAATAGTGATTTCTCACTATTGTATAGGCGCCTTGATGCCTTCCTAGTTCCTACCATGGAATACATCTTCCGAAGGCAGCATTTTTAAGATTTTGGATGCGGCCAAAGTCACAATTCAGTATGCATTATTTAGTTTGAATTTAATTACAAAACTATATATACAAATCATTATGAATATGGCTTTGCACTCAGATTCATGAAAGCAGAACAAATCTGTGTGAAATGTTCGCAAAGCCATTCTCGAAACGCAATTTATGTAAAACCATTCCATACAGAAATTCATTCTGCTTGTGTTTCATGAATGAGGCCCATTGTTCATTAGTGATTAAAGTTCATGTATAACTGTGGTATATAATTACACCTTATTTCCACATTAATTCGCAATTGTTAAGCGGGTATAGTTTTTTAATGGATTCAAGATAAGTACATACCACCATATAAAATGGCTGAGAGAGAGAAGGATTGTGGAAGAAGAGAAAATGGAGGGATGAGGGAGGAGGAGAAGAGAAGCCTGTGATGAGGGAGGGGGGGTATTGTGAGAGAGCAAATGGTGAGAGAGCAATCGAGAGAGAGAGGGGAGGAGATAAAGAGAACAGGAGAGGGAGGGGAGAGAGAGGGAGAGAGAGAGAGAGGAGAGAGAGAGAGGAGGGAGGGAGGGAGGGGGAAAGATACAGAAACAGAGAAATTGGAGGAAAGGAAGAATCGAATGAAAAGGGAACAATGGGGGGAAAAGTAAGAAAAGATAAAAAGTAAACTGTGAACCGTGTGTGTTGTAGGGGTATTAAATGAGAACAAATGGAAAAGAAAATACGAGAGAGAATTCAAAACATTGGGGGAGGGGAAGAGAGAGAGAGAGAGAGAGAGAGAGAGAGAGGGGGGGGGGGGTCTCCACTGTGAAAGGTCTGCACATCTATACCAAGGAATGTAGTACAATGTAATGAATTAAAATTAATAGCAATATTATGAAATTAATTATGCAAAGTTGAACAATATTCAGCAAGGACAACCACAAGATACAAATCAGATATTCATATATAAGCAATGTTTTGACAATTAATATGCAATTAATAAGTAGTGTTTAGCATTTCTAGCCTAGTCAAATGTCTAGAAATGTAGCATTAACACTACATCAACACTAGAACTGACAAATTCAAATCCATTCATATTTATCTGAATCTGATTACAGTAGAGCTAAACTCATCTGTCAGAGGGCAGAATCCTTTTGTAAATTAAACTAAACTACAAACAGACTCTAGAGGCAGGCATGAAACAAATAAAAAACTACTAAGCCTAGCCTAGCCCGGGCCGGATTAACCATTAGGGTTACTGGTCACTTGTCCAGGGGCTCAGGACATCTAAGGGGCCCTGGGCACCGTCAAATATTATGTTAGATCACGTTATAAACACAGTCCTGACTTTCCTAATTATATGCAGATTTTAATATAAACATTTATTTAAATATATGCAACCCATTCGATCAAAATATCATTTTAAATCACGTCAAAACAGTGTCTGAAGCTGATGGAGATGGAGAAGCAGTTGGAGAAGCAGTTGCCTATGCGGTTGCCTAACATAAAGGTCTTGACTTTCTAGCGTTATATTGTGCCAACGAACTCAAATTGAAAATGTGATATGGATTTGCGCCTTTACAAAACAGCAAAAGACTTTAAGTAGCCAATAGGCAGTCTGTTTATGCTTCATAATTTAAAGAAAAGTGCCCACTTTGCTCACGCGATCAGCATGGTGATCTGGTGTTTTCTCCAAAATGAAAGCTCAAGGGTTTATTTCTGCCAATTGAAGAAATTAGGACAAAAGTATTGTAATTTTCCAAAAAATACTTGCAAAATACTTTAAGGCTACATTTATAGGCAAGGCCTATGTGGATTTCACGTCATAGGAATAATTATATAAATAAATCATTATTATAATAATTTTTTTGGCATCCTAAAACACCAGTGATAATGTAATGTAGTCTGAGACTCTATATATAAATACTAAAAAGATGTTTGAGCCCTCTTTAATGTCCAGGAACAAGTCAATGCTTTATCTTTGTTCAACATGGGTTAAAGCTCACAATTTTGAGCTCTCAGAATAAACCAGATTGAGGATTTAACCTCAAAATGTACTTTTTCTTGTGGGGGAACATGCCCCCGAACCCCACTAGAGGAACAGAGGTCCACCCAACATCGTTTAACAAAATCCTATGGGAAACACAGAATGAGATCATTTATGAACTTTACTCCAGCATAGTACAACAAAGTTCCTTTTAAGTCAGTAAAACAGTTAATGCCAAATTAAAAAGTCCTCGGACAAACTACACTAAGGGGCCTCCCTGACTAAGACATTGTGCCCCCCAGGACCCTCTGAATTTTTAATCCGGCCCTGCCAGCCACCATCAAAACTACTTTTATGTTGTGATTTTACAATCTTGAATAACAAAGGCAGAACAATCCCTGCAATAGCATCTCCATTAAAAATCTTGTATACACACTTAAGTATCAATAAGCATGTTATTTTGTTGTTTATTAGAAAATTAGTGAAAAGAAAAAAACATTCATTTGCTATTATTACTCCTTTGCAATTGTCTTTGTTGTCTCAAACATAAAACTAATATAGATGCTGGCCACAACAGAAACTATCTTTGTTTTAACACAAAAGGAATGATTGCTTTTCCTGACTGCATTTAGAGAGTTTTCAGAGGAGCAAAGGTACAGCAGGTAGCTGTAATTCCCAGATAAAGAGCACTGTGCTGTGGCATGATTCACTGGACTATGTTTCCAATAGCATCCAAGGCATTCAAGCCTAATGCTGTGCTACAGAAACATCACATAAGGTTTTTACATTATAACAAAGCAAAATTTACAACATAAAAGATATCCCATGTAGCAAAGTCTTTAAACAGTCTCAACTGCATCTATATTTTTAACAAATATAGTACAGCCATTGTAGTTTATCTTTCATGCCTCATCGCTGCATGATAGCACATGAAGTTCATCTGCACTACAAGATCTACAAATTGTGCCATTCTTTTTATAAGAAAAAAAGGGTGTATTTTTAGTCTAAAAATAAACAACACCAATAATAAGAGCATTACATCAAGCAAGCAAGCAGAAAAGTATACAAGAATTAGAAACTACCATCTGTCCCAACCAAACATCTCAAGCTACTTTAATAAAAGATTGACTTTTAGATTTGTGAAGGTTATAATGCTAATAAAGACCACTAAGATCATTCTCATCCACAAATACCTCGGTAAAAAGATTATGTCATTACTAAGGAGTGCTTGATAGAGGGAAATGGGGTGGGTGATTTTACAGCATTAAAAAAAAATAGAAAACGATAAATGCCTCATTGAGCATATTGACACCCAACATCTTTCATCAACTGTCTTTATAAGAGCGATTCACACCTTGTGTAACACAAACTAACATCTGTAGGCCTACGT